GTGACCTCATAGCAACGTTCCAGTTGGTAAAAGGACTTAATCTGGATGTCGACTGGGAAACGTTTTTTGAAATGGCACCCAAATCCAATCTCAGACGACATGATTACCAGCTCAAAAAGGAACTGTGCCACACAAATCAACGGTCCTCCTTTTTCTCACAGAGGGTCATTCGCCAATGGAACTCTTTGCCGGAGTTTGTTGTTAATTCCCCTACCGTGAACGTGTTCAAGAGACAACTGGATACTCACCTGCTGAAAGGCAACCCAAACTGCCGAAGCCTGATCTAACGGATTATTGAAATGACTATAAATATACTACTCACAGGATTTCAACAGATCCTATTTTGCGTCAAACTTAGCCCATATTGAAATTTTCACAGTCCGAATGTGGTGAACAAAGTTTTTCGCAATTAATTTGCTAATATAATACCCCTTTCACCTTCATGTTACATTATTAGATTTATGAATTCTCCTACTAAAACTAAAACTGCAAGCAAAAGTTTTGCAATTTAACTATTTTACTTTATACCTGTACCCTCTAAATGGAGTTTTCATGGCTTCTGTTGTTTACTCCAAATATACTGACTGATACTGACTGACATTTCCAGGCAACGGAGGCGTTGCTGGAGCCTTGGGCTTTGCGTACAATGCTATAGCCCTCAAACCCTTCATGTTGTCAAAAGACGAATCATCGGTGTCGGATGATGAACTGTACGACGAGTAACCATCCCATGAAAATGACAATGTGCGGGGCAGGCACCTATCCCTTATATCCTCTCCACTTTGGCGTAGAATTTCACTGACCTCTCAATAAAAACCGTTCCCATATGTTTTTCTTGCTATTTGTTTCTACATATCAAAAGGGGTAAAGCAATAAATTTCAAAGGTCAACGGTAAGGACGGATTAAAGGGAAAGATTACGCGTGCAGTGGCTTGGCAAGGCAGGAAATGGCGTCTAAGAGTACGTGCACGAAAGCAAGCACATTGTGCGGTCGATTGGCCAGTAAGCGTGTGCGGACTCGTTTGCATTCTTCATGGCACGAGCGTTAAGCGGGCGGTCGACCGGTTTTTATTTAGCGTCGATTAGCGATTGCAGTTAAGGACTCGAATGGATTTTTTGCTCCTCGGATCATCCAGTACTCGCATAGGTAGCTGGAATTAAATCCTGGTAGTGCCTTCTGTACTTGGTCCTCCGGTAGTAGTGGAATCCCTCATAGTATGCATATAGCTTGTAGACATAGTGTCGGCATCAGTATGTCGAGATAGGTACATATATCGGCATGATATCGACTTTGGTCACTTTGTCAATGTAGTCCTGGTACCGACATATCGAGATACGGTAGCAGAGCCGAAATAGGGTTAAAACATTTAACAAGTGAAACGTATATTCAGCCTATGTGCTCTTCCGTTTGATATTATTTACTATGCTTTACTGTTGCTGTTATTTCCCGTTCTAACGTCATTTGTTTAATCTCGCGTTACTGTCTGGCGATAGCTTTGAACAAAATCGTGAGCCCATATGGGCTCTCCAGACGGATAAAAGGTATTTGCGAAAATTTTATTAGTAAAGTGCATTACAAATGTCATGTAGCAAAAATAATGTCCGAGATTGTTATAATCTCACAATTTGCGCTTTCGGGATGTTTCCTGAAGGAGTAATTATTAACTAATTAATTATGCAATTAGTTGCAAATGCAGTTTACGTTACTCGCTTAAGCCATCGAAGAATATCCTTTACGCGTACTAACTCGTGTTTCAAGGAAACCGACAGCGCCCAGGAGGTGTTAACAAGGCTGATGCTCCTAGTTCCTGTAAAGGAGCGTTCCAATGATGACCTGGTGCAAATACAAACCTCAAACGCCCTCTTTTGTCAACGTGGGAACTTCCGAAAAAGTGGTTAATATTTCGGCTTCTCAAAGAGGCCGGCAATCCTCGTCAAAATTGTTTGCCAATGCAGATTTGAACTTTTACTAACTGGTTGGGAAACGCGTTATCTACCGGCAGCTGGTTTAATTGCAAAAATTCCTCCATACTAAGAGATGCGGCGACGGGATTGCTTGGAATGTCCCCGGAGGACTTTGTTCACGTCGGAGGCCTGTCCAAATTTATTTGTTAAACTGCATGCAGACGCGTTTATAGTCCCTAAATTCAATTTATAACCAACGGGATTTGTCCCTGTGTGGCAGCCCTCTGCTTTCACGCTCTCATAAATAGATTAACCATTCTTTTTCGTGAGATGTTCTACAAGCCGGCAAGGTATACACCGATCCGACATCATCTATCTCGCCTAACTCGTAGGTGTAGCGACTTTGTCAATCAAATATTCGGATCTTCGTCTAAAGCAATTGCGATATACACGATCATACAGCAAATAAATGAGGATCAGTAAGGGTGAAGTGGAGGGTTGTCCCGCTACTGTCTACTTCGTACCATGGTGCTTACAAGCCACCAACTGGGGGATCGCGGTTGCGCGATTCGAAAACACCGTCCACACAGTTACGATCGATGGAGGCTTGGGCCCAGAGGCTTCTAAGGGCGGAACCTATATCCGTCGACTCGCTCAAACCTGATGGTGTCGTTGATCGTGTCCTCCAGGTCAGTCGAGGATGGATCGCCAAGGAGTCTGCCGGTGTACGGGATGTCATACCCTTTATAAAGTGGTATAATACCGCTTTGCCTGTATCCACCACTGGCGGATACAGGCACGCCATGAAATACTTTTTGACCGTTGCCTCCGGCTAGGTAATTTGGCCTCCTAGCGGTCATTGTGAAAACCGAAGTCGTAAACGGTTCCACAATGACCTGTACAGAATGTTGTTTGGTAAACCGGCGTTAAGCGCCTGTGGCGGCCAGCCATCATGACCGGTCTGGTGTCATTGTTTAAGACCTCACTACGCCAAGGTCATTCACCCTTTTGCTGTGAGTCATTCCAAACGATTTGACCTGAAGTCACGCGACCGAAAGCTCGGGCACACCTGCGGCCGCACAGCCGCAGCTGCCTTTGCGGCCACTTGAACGCACCCCCCCCCTTCAATCACAACATAAGCCACTTGGACACCACCCCTCGGCAAATGCAACACACGCTGACTGGCCACCACTTGAGCTTGGCCGACGAGTCTATAAAAGCTGCTGCCACCACTATCTCAGTGACTCTCAGGCATGACTCGACACAGTCAACACCAGCCCTGGCTTCGCCAGTGGCCACTACCGCCTGAGGGGACAACTCTGCGTTCTGTGCACAATAAATCCCTCATTCTGGCGCCTTCCGTCTTCTCCCTCCAATCTGTAATTCGACGTGGTGGTTGTAGCGTTCTGAGCACAGACATATTTACCCTCACTGCTTAGTCGCGAAAGGCCTACTACAAGTACCTCCTGGAACACTGTTTCAGTAGAGTTCTACTCCTCTCCGCTTCTGGGACTTCTTCCAAATAAAAGTCCAATAGACGGATCCACCCGACGAAGTTTTCCGTGCCATCATATAACCGAACAGGTTGTGGAATAGCATTGCTGATCGATGACGCCTGCACTTTAGATCTCGTCAGTTCGCGTGTGGTCGCTACTACCCAAACCTCTGGGGTTGCCCGTTCCTTTCCCCTATACTTCCATAGGCACTCAGGTTTGATCCTGAGCATGCAGTTCCTCAGCTTTTTCTTATTTCACCGTCATGCTCATGTGCCCATTACAATCAAGCCACACAAGCAGTGTAAATTGACGAAATTGTCTCTATCACCGTGTTTTTTATAGAATCCAAAAAGGAAGGTGCACGTCAAACATGACAAACGGGGTTAGAATAATGGAGGATTCTGCTCCCTTCTGCTCGACGAGGCTTGGGTGACGTTATGTTTTAAGGTCTACTCACGGTTGGGCTAGGCGCAATCACGAAAACGAAGCCAGAGTCCGTTTGGGCACCTTACAGCATCTCTCCAAGATGCCAAAAGCTGTCTTCCGGCAAGCTTGGGTGCCAGTAATTCTACAAAGTTGTAAGACCTACTTACTGAATTTAGGGATGTTTTCGATTAGGCGGCAGCTCGACATGATGAACAAGTGTCGCTGAACTTTGTATTTCACGGGGGACGCCGAACCTATTAAGATCCCTCCCACACACCTTTCAGTATTCTGTCAGATGGAATTCGACACGGCGCAGACCTCCGATCTGGGTATAGGGTTTCTCACTCTCTGGTTATCTACCGCCTCGGTTTCCCCATTTTCCTTTGATAGTGTAGTTTTCTTTCATTGCACATGCAATTTCGTTGTTTTTTTGTACAAATGTCCATTTTTAGTTCACAATTATCGCGATTGTGCTAAGCATTCACAGGTCGTCTTCCGTTGTTCAGGCTGTTTCGTTAATTTCCGTCATTCGCGGGCGATGTGTCCGGACTGCATGGTCATCAGTTGGGTTCGTCACAATCGGATGACAACCGTGCTTGCCTGTGATGGAGAACATCTTTGTTAAGCTCGGAAAAAACTGCAAGAACACTTTAAACGGCTCCCAACCCACCTCAGTCTGACGACTTTGATCGTTGGGCGTCTCATATGGACGACTATCTGGACACTATTGAGATACTCACAGACATGGTCCGGCAATCGCCGCCCCACGAGAGGGCAAAGTCTACCATCTGGCTCTTGCAACCGGGAATTCTGCATTTTAAACAGGCATTCTGCCTTCTCGGACGTCGGGCGTCTCCCCTCCTGTAGGGCGATTTGTCCGGCCCTGATGTTCGCAAGGTGTTCCTCTGTCACCAGCTCGTTAGCTTGGGTGAGGTGATAGCCTAAGCCCCATCCGGCTGATTACAGATGTCATCCGAACTTCCAGCCTGTCAGTGTCGATCGCGGGGAGGACAGCAGTAAGCACTGGATTCATCCTGAGTGGTATTTCATGCACTAGACTTGTCACTTACCCATTTTTCGAGGAACTCGTAGGCATCGTTTCTTTCTCTCGTTTGGTCGACGTTGGTGCATTTTACTTTTCTAGTTAGACAACCAGTTTTCAGTGTCTTCCAGTTTTAGGTTAACATGAATGACTGAGTTATTCTGAAGATTGCCGCGGTGTTCAGGTCTTAGTTACAAGTCCGCAGTATTGGCCATGGAGATCACAAGTTGTGATTTGGACTGCAGTCTAGTCTCATCGGCGTCAATATTGGTTGCTCGCAGTAAATGCATGCGCGTTCGAATCGTGTGTCATACCTTTTCAAGTTTCCTGCTAGCGAGATTGGTTACGGAAGGTAAATGCCAGAAGTTGAAGTCAGACATGTCTGGAGACAGACCCCAGTATACTACTAGCACCAGAACGGGCCCTTGTGCTAGTTGCAAACGCGCCTAGACTGACAAGGAGCGCTTCTGCCAGCGTAACTGCGTTTTCTCCTAGACAAGCGTCGTTATTCATTTTTACCCTTCTGCCTCACATTCGGTCATTTCGTTGGATACGTGACGACATCCAAGGACTGGGACGCAAGGGCTTCTGAGAAATCACTACGCCCAACAGTATGTACTATGTTGTGCTTATTGATTACTATAATGATAATGATAATTGTAGTTCTCCGCCTCAACACCTCACTTTATCGCTCTACCTCTGTAGTCAGCTGTCTCAGGCACGTTGTACGCATTCCTACTCTTCATCTTCTTCAACAAGCGAAGTAAGGGCGGAGGAGAATTGGATAGGTGGGCGGGAGAAATGAATGTACTCTTGACCACAGTAAGATAAAGCCATCTGCTCGACTGGCCTAGTTATAACTTCCCTCCCCCCAAAGCTTCCTCTTAAAACTTTGCCAGACATGCCCCCCAAGGTCGGTTAGTGATGCCTTTGGCTGTTTATCTCCATCCTTACCTTCCATTTGAATTCTCACCCCAGCCCATTGTTGTTAGGTAGGGCGTCGTTGATGAGAACTTGCACCTCGTGTCCTCAAGGACTTGCCAGTTTTAATTTACAATATTTGCCTACTTCCCATTTTGCAAGTAACCATACTTTCTGCGCGCAAGCGGCTACCTTGAGGTTACAACATCGCCGTCACCAGCGCCAGCAGTATCGTCACTGAGGTCATATCAGAGTCCGGTGATCAAGACGAACGGCTGCATGACGCTGTACTGTCCGCAAATAAAGGCGGAATTGGGAAGGAGACAGTTTGAGAGTTGAAATCATCCCTTAACCTCCCTGGGCATCCGGAACCCTACAGAAGCCCACAATTTGAGACAATAAAGTTCAGCATCAGGTGAGCAGTATCAGCAGCGTCTCAGTGGTTTTGTTAACCACATGTTTTATTTACCGAAAACGGGGTCGTGTCATCTAACAATGTGACCGTAGCACGTCGGCGTGAGAACTTGCGAAGGTGTGGTGCGAGGTCCAGACCTAGCGCTGCTTCTCCAGATGACCGCCCTTGCCTTTACTTGCCGCAAAGTCCGACTCCTGACTTTACCCTACCTTGTTCTCAGTAAGTTAGACCTGTGGGTGTTTGTAAAACGAGCTCTCTTAGGTTCTGGCCTGCGTAATTCCGGAGGCAACGGTAGCACACGATTTAGCCCGTGATCTCCGATTGCTCGCTTGCAGTGAGTCGGGCTTTTGTCCGCATGACTCCTGCGCATGACCGACGGGTATGCGAACACCTAACTGGCTTCACGCCTCATAGGCGGACACGCGAATGTCGCCATGGTTAACAGTAGCCCAATCCTTTCGGTTTTTGTACATTATACTCCAGATTTTGACTGTTTATCGGGATACCCTGCGGTCGATCTTACTATATGTCACTGAAAGTACTTCACCTGATTAAAAACTGCTATCACTGAACAGGAGCCAAAGTCCGCCTGAGTGACGCGGCGGGTAACTCCATTGATATAATTTGCGGTGTCCGTTAGGGCCGAGTTCTCTCACCAGTCTTCAGCACGTAATGGCAGACAGATCCGGTGCTATAGTGGGTCGTGATCCCTGCACTACAGATCTTGAATATGCCACTTTCGATGCGGTGTTGGCGGGTCGGTGTTAATAAACGCAATGTGTTGCGGTAGGCGCAAAGTCAAACTAAGTGGGCGTGCAAATCAGCTTCTTAAAGGCAAGCATGATGACGTCTGGCTTTGCAGTATGAGAGATGGCAGACGGTGAGGCTATCCAGCTACTATTATGTCGGATCGAATCCCCTGCTAGACATGCATGGTTAGAATGGAGTCGGCTTATGGCCATCGCCCGATTTTACTAAGACCCTGCAGTGGGCGTGCGATTATTTTGAAGACCAGGCCGCGGGTACGCGGCGGCCTCTGCCAGCATAATTTTTCCTTGCTGATATGTGACGTGACCCGTATGCCTAGGAGATATCGCCATCCGAGTTCGTCTCTCCGATCACGTCTCCAATGAACTTGTTGAGACTAAGCAATGTGAGTAGGTGATCTGTGTGCTACCGTCATCGGGTCGGATCCCATGTTGAGGAGGGAAGACGGAAGAAACCAGAATGAGGGGTTTATCGTGCACAGAACCCGGAGTTGTCCTCTCAGGCGGCAGTGGCCACTGGCGAAGCCAGGGCTGGCGTTGACTGCGTCCAGTCAGGCCTGAGAGTCACTGAGATAGTGGTTGCAGCCGCTTTTGTAGGCTAGTAGGCCAAGCTCAAGTGGTGGCCAGTCAACGTGTGTTGCATTTGCCGAGGGGTGGTGTCCCAGTGGCTTGTTTTGCTGGTTGCAGGGGGTGGCGCGTTCAAGTGGCCGCATGGGCAGTTGCGACTGCGCGGACGCTTGTATGCCCGAACTGTTGGTTGTATGACTTCAGGTCAGCTCGTCTGGGACGGCTCGCTGCAAGGGGTGAATGACCTTGAGGCAGCGAGGTCTTGAACAATGACGCCAGACCAGTCAGGAGGGCTAGTCGCCACAAGCTCTCGATAATAAACCGGACCGATCAACTGTGTCCTCCCTACCCATCGACTGAGATGGTCCTACATTAGACTGCGTCGAGATCTGAAGATCGGGCTGGAAGTCCTGGCAGGAAAGCAGGAAATATGGATTAACTTGCACTTTATACGTGGACCGTACGCCTAGGAGATATCGCCATCCGAATTCGTCTCCCCGACCGCGTCTCGAAGGAACTCTCGATAATAAACCGGACCGGTCAACTGTGTCCTCCCTACCCACCGATGGAGATAGTCCACCATGAATGAAAGCGAAATTTCGAGTTCCAGGTGTATGCATAAGTGAAGAAGAAGAAGAAAAGGTTTCGAGCACCGGAACATTTTGTTTGTTGTCCTCAGCTTTCAGACTCGTGCGGGAGTCTATCTTGAGAGGTAGAAGCAGCAACAGAACAAGCGGCAGTTATAGGGCATTTGGGCCAATCATCGACCGACGGCGCAAGAATAGAGGTGACTGCGCAGGGCTATATACGCCGGCGCCAGATGATAAATCGATTAACTGAGTTCTCATCCGAGGCCCAGGCTTCAATCAATCCTCCATATGCTGCGTCGAGATCTGAAGACGAGATCGGGCTGCCATGATGTTGACGTGGCTCGATGGCTTTTCGACTCGATTTTTGGATTTCCAAGCAGGAGTTTTCGCTGGCAGTTTCAAAGCGGCGAACACTCAATAGTCGACCGGTTTGCCCGCAGAAATATGGGACAGGAGGGTCACTTCTGGCGTATTCTTTGTCTGCAGCCAGACAGTCTAGGTAAACCTCGAAGTCCAATCTGGCGGCTCCCTCTGATTTTAGGATCCACCTTTCTCAAATGTAGCGCATAAAGCTCCATAACGTAATTTGCGTCAAAGTGGAGGACGAGGCTGTGTATACCACTCCAGCATTTATTTAATCTCTGGCCCAGTTATAGTAATTCGGTTGAACAGTGAGCAGTTATTGATGAGGCACATTGTTTCCAGCTCATCAGTACTTCAGCTCTGCTGAGTTATCCCACTCCGTCCGCGAGCGCGCTTAAGAATTTCGGACAATCTTTCAGTTATCCACTGTAATACCAGCTTTCCTAGTTGGGCCACATCATTTGCAGCTGCCGGCTCAAGTCCGTTTGTACGTTTGCTTTGCCAAATGTTTGATGAGCGCCAAAGCCGTCTTTGTCTACATAAAGTAGCCAGAATCTGAGTCGGGAAGCTTTCTGCCTCAGCTGAACTCAAGACACCACATCTTCAGGTTGATACTGCGGCGCCTTACAGGCGTCTGCATCGCCCATCGGACATCCTCTATCATCTCCCACAATCGGCCACTTGCGCGCTCTGCCGAAATAAATTTTTTTCTCTAAACCCTTCATCCTAATGCCCCCAAAGTCAATTTATAAAACCATACCGTCTAGCTGCTTCGCCTTACTTGCTCCCTAATCCCTCCCTGAGGACAGTGTAGTAAGCACTCTTCGTATATTTCGTGCCTGAGATTTTCTTGGCGTTATTGCACCTGATTTAGATATCTCTAGCAGTGGTTTCGTTGACCTTAAAATTCATATTGACCCAACTGTGAAAAACTCGGCCCTCGGTGGGATTCGAACCCACGCAGTAAGGGGGAAGGCTTTAGTACAGCCAACGCTCTAACCACCTGAGCTACGAGGCCCCGCCGGACGACGCGAGTTAAATCACAGTTGGGTCAAGTTACCCTCCCAACCTACTGCAACGTCTGGAATCCACCAAATCTGATACAGTAAGTTGACTGCCCAAGCAGGATTTCCCAAGTAATTCACCCAGAATCCACCAGATGACTACTAGGCTCACGTAATTCATTGATCTCCCTCACTGCGTGGGTTCGAATCCCACCGAGGCGCCGTTTTTCACAGTTGGGCCAATATGAATTAGTCAAAATCTGCCAAAAATATCAATGGACCTTAAAATTGTAAACTTCGACAGGAAGTCCCGGAAGGAAAGCGGGTCTGTCTGTGTTGAGTCAGAGGTATGGCACCCATTACAAATGCTGAGAGTCGACGTTCCATTCACGTCTTGCGGGAGACGCTCGTTTGCGAATTTCTAATTTTCCACAGTCCTACCCGCCACGTCTAGCGCTCCGTTCTCGCGACGACACATTTCATCAGTGGGTTTGACCTGAAAGGCAGTCAGTAGATCATTTGTTGCAGCGCATTCCTATGGGCTTGCTGCCAGGCTTGCTTACGCACCGGCATTGTTTGCTGATTGGTTGATCACCAGGGACCCTTATGTGACTCACGCCTATGGAGCATTCTGTCGTCAGTGTTTGACGCCAGTCGCTTGCACACTCCACCACAGTAAAATCTGCCCTCATTTTCCTGCCTTGCGATTTAGGATCGCAGCCGCAACTGTTTATCACTGTCGCTTGTCAAGTAAGTGGATTTATTTCATGCTGCTACAGTGCGATGGCTTTTGTGCCTTCAGCGACTATTTTGATTGCCTTGTCTTTTTTCAGGTCAGCGTGCGATCGTCAGCTGTCGACCTAGGCTGTAGCGCTGATTGGACGGTGAAATGTGACCTTCATCAAGCTACGACGCGTGACCACGCGGCTTGTGATCGAGTTTACCGTACCGGGAACCAGTCGAGCAAGGAGAAGGCTTCGCCAACCCGTCGGTGAACACTGACCTCTACTACTTCCATCGCTATTTGTGACAAAGATACCAACCTTAGTGTAGTCGACACCCCAAAGTGGGCACTGTTTCCATTACGACATACATCTTCCCTAAATAAATAGTTATATTTCAATTCAATGGTTGTCTTCTGTGAACGATTTAATTGTGTGGTTATTGCATCAAACCCACTGCCTGATTCGCCTTTCTCAGTTGATTGCCCTCGTTTTTGGAAGACCCAATTATTTAATAGCCGCACCATGAAAAGGAAGGGGTTTCGCCAGTTGGTTTCCTAAGAGCGGCACTTCGAGTTTTCTTGACCTACGCGGATGTCCGCTTCGCTTTAAAACGATCGAAGACAAAGCTGAACTTGCGGAGGAGGGGAGGGGGTGGGATACCCGCCACAACTGTTGTTTTCCCTGTTCCTGCTGTACAGTCGTTTTGTTGTCATCTACCATCAGTGGCTTGTGCTGGCCTGCTAAAATTTTTATTTGGGGCACCGACAACTCAGCCGTTGTCCCCAACTATGTCTGCCGTACGCTCCAAGGTACGGTGATTTGCGGGCGAATTAGTATATAGTCATAGTGGACTTGCGCCGCGTCTATCGCACTCCTCTTCAACCTGGGCCCGGTGCCATTACAGAGTCACGAAGACCGGCGGCTGGCTGGCTGGCACGGCGTGGACCTGCGCCCAGGCGTGCTGCACACATCCCTCGCATGCTGTTACGGGTGAGCAGCCCAGTAGAGCGTGCCGTAACCTGATCTGGTCCCCATGTTGGTCCAGCCCTTCTGTTGCGTGGCCCGTTCTAGGGGGGAAATTAAGGCACCATCGCCAAAGGTTGGATGACTTGCACCGAGGGAATGCCCGGTGAGACGAAAGGACTGAGTTACAGAAGATTCCTGCTCGTATCGTGATCCACGGAAAACACGCTGGAGTGACTGTCACCGGAGGGTCGCCATCGCCGGCAGTTAGCGCATAGTGCTCGATGGGAACTATCGTTGCGTTGAACTGCAGTAAAGATGATTTGCGTGAGTCCGGATTCCTTGGATCCATGCCATGTTCCTTGTGTAAATAGGATATGACGGGGAGAGGGGAGGGGGGAGTGCGAGCGATGGCGTAAGGCGGGGTTGGGCGCAGTAGCTGAGCTGGCGTTCGGCCTGCCGGTTCTGTTCTGCAACCGGCCCTGAGCAGTCACGTCCGTCGGACTGCTTCGAGCCAATGCAGCCTGACCCCGGCTCGCAACAATCCGATATCCCACAGGTCAAAAAGGTCCCCAATCGCCGCAACAGTCTTATTTACCCGCCAATTGAGTGGCAGCTAAGAGGAGTGCACGGACTCGGTGTCTATTTCCTCTCCCGCTGGCAGAGGTAAGATGTTGGGTGTATTCGGAGATCAGCTTACAGCCCTGCCGCGTTGGTCTTACGAACGAGGCAGATAACCCGTATTGGTAAGATCGCAGCTGGTAGCCAGACATTATACGTTGATACTGTCGACGGACTTACTTGTTATCAGTGGGTGTGCTTACCTTGTCTCGGGGACTTGTTATCAGTAGTTTTGCTTCAACTGAGTTAGGCAGGTCGCCCGTTTCGGTCAGGCTGTTGGGTTAAGTGAGGGTTAAGGTTAGGCGTAGGTTAAGCTTTAGGATTAGGGTTTGCGTTTAGGGTCAGGTTTCAGTGTAAGGGTTAGGATTTAGGTCTACGATTATGGTTTAGCTTTAGGGTTGGGGTTCGGCTTTAGAGTTAAGGTTATGGTTTTCTGGGTTAAGGTTAGAACATTTGGCTTCCGTTTTAGGGTTGAGGTTAGGATTAGTTTTCCGGTTTATGGTTTCCGATTGTTGAGTTAAGGTTAGGACTTCAAGGTTAGGTTTCCGGGTAAGAGTTAGAGTTTACGATTAGGTTAGTTTTTAGAGTTAGGGCTATTTTTAAGGGCTAAGGTTAGGCTCAAGATTTCGGTTAGGGTTAGGCTTAGGGTTATTGATAGGGTTTTGGTTAGCGTTGGGTTTTAGTATTTCAGTTACGTTCCGGTATTGGGGCTTAGGGTAGGCTTTAGACGGAGACCTCGCCGTCCGCTTCCCCATTCCTGGCCAACAACTACGATCTAACCCCCGTGTAACCCATCAACTGCGACGCCGGTTTGTCTCTGCACTCATTAGCGCAAATCAAAGTCAGCACTGGAGGCCATTTTATTTGCTATCCCTGCGATCAATCCTTTCCCTTCCGGTTCCGTTTCGTCCAACAAGCTTTTTCATTAAACTCGTTTAGTACTGCAGTCGCAACTGCGTAGGCAGGACTCCACCGTTCCATTACTGTTCCGTGTTGGGCCGTCGCGTTTCACCGTGGAAGATGAAGCACTCTTGTCTCCGTCCACGGCACTTCCGTACTCGCTCCAATTGTTTAACTTCTGTCGAACCCCGCCCCTCGGGCAGATGTTGTGGGTGTTCTTCACTCGGGTCTCTGTTGGGGAAGCTGAGGCCAAGCAGGAATTTAGAGGGAGGAAAACAGTAGGCGCGCTTAGGTATCAGAATGCCTTCTTATTCGGTTTTTCCGCATCCCAACACCTTACAAAAGTGATGTGACATCCCATTACTCTAGTTCTTTTTTATGTTTGGTAGATGTGCTAACTCATGAAACGCTAAGCGAAATTCTAAAAAGCGTTCTCGACTCAAAACGATTACCTAAGTAGGGTCGTTATTATTAATCACCATGCAGCACAATCCCACGATGATACCAGCTTTTTAACGGATTTTTCGGTCGTCTGCAGAAATTACACTCGCCAAAAATGACTACTTAAGCAGCATGAAATTTTCTCATTGATTTTTTATGTCCTTATAAATTCAAATATATTTCACAGAAAAAAAGCATTTATTCTTTTACTCATTTGGTATAAAATTACGACTTCTTCGAATTTTATACCTGAAGGAAGGGTATAATTTGGTTTTAAAAAGTTTCTAATTATGATATTTATTAAGACCGTTCATAAAACATCGTGTCTCCGCATTTACTAGTGTTGCTTGTAAAGTTGACAGTATGGCTCAAATCCACTGGCAAATTTTATGAACTCCTATATGATCTCCTCTTAAAAATGTGGAGAAATATATGATTTTCCGTGCATGCGAAATATAAAGCTTGTAGTATGGAAACCCTGAATGCAAGTGTAACGGCATGTCGGTTTCCGAGTTTTTCGGGAATTTAAAAAGTTCTTCAAAACCGAATTATACCCTTCTTTCACGTATAGAATTTGAAGAAGACGTAATTTTCTACCAAATGAGTAAAAGAGGGAATACTTTTATTCATGTTTTATGCAAAATCTATTTGAACTTATAAGGACATCAAAAATCAAAGGGAAAAAGTCATACTGCATAGGTAGTCATTTTTTACTGCGTTAAATTTCTGCTGGCGGCCGAAACGAAGTTCGTTCAAAAGCTGGCATCTTGAAGCAACTGAATTATCATGTGATTATGCCGCAAGTTGGTTAATATAACGACCCTACTTAAGTAATCTTTTTGAGTCGAAACGCATTTCGGAATTTCGGTTAGTATTTTACGAGTTAGCGCATCTACTGTATGTTGATTATACTTGCGAAAATTCCCATGGAAAGATTCAGAAGACCAGTTGACAAGCGTGTGTTTCTGATAAATTCCCATCCGACCATCACATTTAGGGGAGAGCGGAGTACAAGTGAAACATGCGAGAGACAATGGAAATCAATTACAGTTCGCCCTTTTATACAAATTGAGTGTAAGAACAGAGGAAGGGGGGAGGAGTAGGCGATCGTAAGTTAGAGGGGGGGGAAGGGAGGGCGCGGAGGGGTTTATGCAGTTAACCGGTCGTTGGCCACCGTAGGCGTGGAGCTTGTACCAGGTTTTTCTTGGGAACATGTTTTACGTATACTCTGTTCGCATATAAATCTACTGACCCGACGAGAATTAGCCGAAAGCATAGGTTGAACGATATATCCTAATTGTCAGCATAGGTGCTAGCTAAAAGCCCAAACACCCGTTCCGCCGACATTCTGCCTATACCTAGTACCTGTGCTATCAAGTATGGTATGTCGTGCAACCTATGCATACACTACTGGCCTGCCTGTTGGCAGTTTGTAAACATTGCGCGGTTATTCCGCTGTGGCCCAAATAATCATATCAAATTTCTGTCCTAGCATATAAGTCTCGGATAGACTGATTTGGTCCAAGGCAGTTTCCGAGGAAAAACCCTGCAGTTCTCGAAAGCGCATGTGCAGAGTAGGGTAATTTGGTCTTCATGCAGCAATCCGTTGCGCCTTAGGGCTCTCTCTCGAGCCCATTTAGCAGCCGCACAACGGAGCGTAAGATAGACAGAATAGCATTACCGACAAAGACAAGGGAGACTGGAATGGCCATCTCTGGCTTATAAGCCGTCGTCAACCAGTCATACCCAACCCCGAAGTGTGGAACACCCGGGGCTCGAGCTCGCAGCCTATTAGTTAGAAGTTCAATGCCTCTAACCACTGGGCCACTAGTCCGTTGCCTTGTCGGTTTCTATCGGGAATATACTATTGGTCCCAGAGGGTACTTCAGGCTTGTGAACTTTAGGCAGTCCGTAGATCTTAGCGATGATCGATTCAGATTGTCTCACGGACTTGGTAATATCTCCCGACAATCGGTTCTTCCCTGTAAAATGCTTTAGCACTTTGTCAGGGGCCGAGCTCCGCGTTCGGGTACGGTCCAAGGTAAAAGATTGATCCATCCTCCTAACAATGACAGCATCCTTTCGTTATAGTCTGCCTTGTTCAAAATTGCAGCTGAACCTCATGTGTCTGCAGGAAGAATGCTAATGCTATTATCAGTTTTCTTGGTCTTTAATGTCTCCTTTTCCTACGGAGAAACGATTTCGCTTCTTTACGGGATGCACAGTGCCAGTTCGGATTGTGAAACGTCCATTGTCCGCAAGATTTGCTGATTATACGCTGGATTCCAAGTTCGCCGTAGTCAATAGTTAAGAGATACGGGTAGGTGTAGATAGGTAGGTGTAGA